TCAAGACCCCGTCTCTACTAAAAATAGAAAAACTAGTCGGGTGTATTTGCAGGCACCTATAGTCCCAGCTACTGGGGAGGCTGAGGCAAGAGGATCACTTAAACCAAAGAGTTTGACATTGCTGTGAGCTATGACACCAGAGCACTCTCTACCCAGGGTGACAGAGTGAGACTCTATCTCAAATAAATAAATAAATAATAAACTCTAATGCCCAGACATCAGCAAAGATACATATGTATCAAGAAGAGCTAGAAAAAGTATGACCTCATCAAAAAATAAAATACTAAGTAATGTACCAGTGACCAATCTTGGAGATATGTGACCTTTTAGATAAAGAATTCAAAATAGCTGTCCTGAGGAAGCTCAAATGAAATTCAAGACAACACAGAGAAAGGGCTCAGAAGCCTCTGAGAGAAATTTAATAATGAGATTAAAATAATACAAAAAATTCTAGAGCTTAAGAATTCAATTAACCAACTGAGAAATGCATCAGAGCCTCTCAACAGCAGAATTGACCAAGCAGAATAAAGAATTAGTGAGCCTGAAGGCAGGTTATTTGAAAATACAAAGCCAGGGCTCGGCGCCTATAGCTCAACCGGCTAAGGCGCCAGCCACGTACACCTAAGGTGGCGGGTTCGAATCCCCAGCCGGGACCCGCCAAACAACAATGACGGCTGCAACCAAAAGATAGCCGGGCGTTGTGGCGGGCGCCTGTGGTCCCAGCTACTTGGGAGGCGGAGGCAGGAGACTCGCTGGAGCCCAGGAGTTGGAGGTTGCTGTGAGCTGTAATGCCACGGCACTCTACCCAGGGGGACAGCTTGAGGCTCTGTCTCAAAAAAAAAAAAAAAAAAGAAAGAAAATACAAAGCCAGAAGAGAAAAAAGAATAAAAAAGAGTGAAGCTCACCTACAGGATCTAGAAAATAGCCTCAGAAGGACAAATTTAAAAGTTATTGATCTTAAAGAGGTAGAGAGAGAGATTGGCATAGAAAGTTCATTCAAAGAAATAATAGAGAACTTGCCAAATCTAGGTAGGAGATCAATACTCAAATACAAGAAAGTCATAGAACACCAAGCAGATTTAACCCAAATAAGATTAGGCATTTAATAATGAAGCTCCCAAAGGTCATTGATGAAGAAAAGGACCTAACTGAGGTAGGGAAAAAGAAAAAAAACATATAAAGAAGCTCTAATGTGCCTGGCAGCAGACTGCTCAGTGGAAACCTTACAGGTCTGTAGTAAACTGAGCACCATGCTTTTAGGAACGGTCACTGGTTCTTGAAGGAGGCTCTGGGAACGGGACAATCTCCTAGCTGGCAAGGAGATGTTTTGCAGGCTGGAGATGAGTCTCAAGCGACAGTGCTTTAATGAGATAAGATTGGTTGCTGTTAGTAAGCAGGTATCAGACCTGAACATTTGTAATGCATCAGGGTGGAAGTCAAGCCCATGGAGAGAGCACGTAGTGATCCTTAAACATGTAGTCCTTGTACGTGGGCCCCCCGCCCCACACCTGTGGCATAGCATCCAATAAAAGACCACAATGGAGGCTACTCAGGGCTCTCCTGCATCTCTGGGGAGTCTACCTCTTGCAAGCTTATACTTTCAATCCACATACTGGCTGGTTTGTTCTGGCAGTGCCAGCGTGGCCACAGCGGGCACCAACACAGGTCAAGAGAAATTGGCATGATGTATTCAAAGTGTTGAAGGAAAAAAAATCCTTAATTTTAGAATATATCCTGCAAAAATATCCTTCAGCCAGGAAGGAGAAATGAAGATTTTCACAAACAAAAGCCGAAAGATTTCATCAACACCAGACCTGTCCTACAAGAAATGCTAAAAGGAATCCTGAAAAATGGAAGAAGAGGATGTTAATGAACAGTAAGAAATCATCAGAAGGTAGACAGCTCACTGGGGACAGTTAAGGACACAGACGCAGACTGTTCTATTGCTATAACTGTGGTGTAGAAACCACTTACATCTTGAGTAGAAAGCCTGAAAGACAAACCTATCAAAAATAACAACTTTTTCAAAGATAAGTAGTATTAAAAGATATGGGTGGAAACAAGAAAAAGTTAAAAAGAAGGGGGAGGGAGAATATAGTAAAGGCATAGGATTT